ATGCGCTCTCTCCCTCACCCACACTTGCCATCCCCTCTCATAGAGAGAGAAATGCACTCTCTCCCTCACCCGCACTTGCTCCCCTCTCACAGAGAGAGAGAGAGAGAGAGAAATGCGCTCTCCCTCACCCACACTTGCCCTTCTCTCCCTCACAGAGAGAGAGAGAAATGCGCTCTCTCCCTCACCCACACTTGCCCCCTCCACACTGTTTATATGAATTATATTCATCTGAAATTAAAACTAAAACTAAATCTATTCCTAACTTTCACCAGTTATTTTAGAATTAATAGCATGCACTTGGGTCTCCATTTATATTCGAACTCGAATTAGGCAACTCATGAAGCCTGATATCACATCTTGAGGGTGTGGGGGTGGGTGGGTGAGTGTGGGTGTGGAGTAGGTGCGGGTGTGTGGTTGTGGGTGTGAGGTGTGGGCGTGGAGTGTGGATGTGGGGTGTGGATATGGATTCGGGTGTGGGTGTGGATGTCGATGTGGGTGCGCGGTAGGACATGAGCGAAAACACGATGAACACCAACACGCACACTCACCCCTATCCCCACACCCTCCGCTAAGAGTTCAGGGAATCCATGTCACGTTTCTATTCCCGTTCCTCGGCGCAGAACTGGATTGCGTTCTTCATTCCTAGGAACCGAACGCAAAAGTGACTTTACAGAAAATTATCTTCTGAGAACTGTTAATAAATGTATTATGTACAAGGAAGGAAAAGCGAGAATTCGTGTGTGCGTACTCCAGCTGTACCTCTCCTGCACTTATGCATGGACTAAACCTAATCCGCTTGGGATTTTGAGTGTGGTTTTCGATTTGGATTAGGCATATCATTCCTAATTTTTCTAATTAAAAAAGATCTTTTGAGAAAAAAACCGTTTTTTTGTAAGACTGAACCGAAGGTAATCGAGTTTGGTGCATCCGAATCTGAAATCAGTTTCTCAAAATTTTCGAAGTGGATTTGTTTTACTAAACAATAGGTTGTTTGAGAAAATAACGATTTCTTGTAAAGTTTAATCTCAGTGAGTACAGTGAGTTTACTTGATCAGGAAACAAAGTACAAAACATTTTAGAACCTGATTGCCGATTATGATTTCCCGACCCCGATTACCTTTGATGAAGCCTTATAAAAAATCATTATTTTCTCAAAAATATCATTTTTAGTGGAAAAATTAGGGATGACGCGACTAACGCAAATCCAAACCTAAACACAAACTCTCATATGGTTTCCGATACTTCACCTGTACTTTGGTTGTCCTCCTCTTATACTTCTATTGTAGTTCCATCGTATTTTCTCGTACTTCCGTCGTAGTTCAAAAAGCTTCGGAAGTAGATGAAGACTTGCTTTTTCCTCCTTGGACTAACTTCAAACCTGCATTCAATGAAAAAAGCTGAGCTTTCGTCGAATTGATTTCAAGAGAGATCTCAACGTTATAGAGAACTTACTTCTGAGTAAAATATACCGTTGAAATAAAGAATACAACTTTGAAAAGTTTCTTACCGTTTTTGAATAAATGATAAACTACTCATATTTATTAATCGTTGAAGAATGCATATATAGTGCTGTAACTCTTATCATTTACTCACTAAAAAACCCATTGGTGGGCGATAAAAAAATAGATATTTAGGTAGTAAAAAGGAGTGAGTATTAAAGCTCCAACACCCTCGAGTTTCTTTCAACATCTGGAACTACGATAAGAACTGCAGTATAAAAAACAAAATACGTTTGCATATGCTTGTTATCAGCAGTTGAAAATGCACGTCTTGTAGGTGTGGAGAGTGGATGTACGTCTTCTGTTTACTTGCATCCGTACTTACACTCACACCCACACCCTCAAAATACCCTTTCCTTGACCCTAAAAACTTAATTCAAAATTTCAAAACTCACTTCAGATTCGGATTTCCCGACTCTGATTTACTCTCGTCAACCTTTATATAAAACAACTTTAAGAGGATCTTTTTTTACTCTGACATAAACAAGCACACAAACCAAGGGGGAACAAGCGGACTTCTGTACTTCTTCGTACTTTTCGTACTTCTTCGTACTTCTTAGTACTTCTTCGTACTTTTCGGTACTTCTTCGTACTTTTTGGTACTTCTTTGTACTTCGACAATGTACTAATTTTTTTCAAGTTTTTTTTGTGAAACACGATCTGAAAGGAGTGTTGAAGTGTATAGGGTAGAAATTTTGGACCCACCCCCCCCCTCCCCCCCCCACAGACCGTGACAGAGAAAATCCATACCCATCACAGACCGTGACAGAGAACCTCCGGACCCATCACAGACCGTGACAGAGAATCCGGGTACCCATCACAGACCGTGACAGAGAACCCTGGGTACCCATCACAGACCGTGACAGAGAACCCTGGGTGCCCATCACAGACCGTGACAGAGAATCCCAGTACCCATCACAGACCGTGACAGAGAACCTCC